GGGGGGATGAAAATCTGAGTTTGTGAGCCCCAGGCATGGGGCAGGTCCCAGCTGTGCCTGCTGGGGACAGCACCCTGCTGCCCTGTGCTTGCCAGAGCTGGGCATGGCTGTCACCCAGAGCATCCCATGCCCTAATTAGCCGGCTCTGAGAGCTGTTAATGAGCTGCAGCAGTGCCCCGTGGCCTGTGGGGTTGGGGTGGCACACAGGAATCACTGCAGCCCCTGTTCTGCAGCTCCCTGATCCTACACGGGGCTGGTGCCCGGGACTGTGCCGTGGCTGGCCCAGCAGGGCAGCACATCCAGCTGCAATTCCAGCTGCAATTCCAGCTGCAATTCCAGCTGCAAATCCAGCTGCTGGCAGCACCAGCTGCCTGCACAGAGCCCAGCTTCAGCCTCCAGGGAAGTCTTCACTCGTTCTCCTGCCCAGTTGCAGCCCCAGGCTGATCTCTCCTCTCCAGTTTCATGCCCAGCATTAACTGTGCCCCTGTACAAAGCTCAGCAGATGTTCAAGCAGCCAAATCTGATACTTAGCTCCAGCCTGGCTGCTTTTTTTTCAGCTGTCACTGCTGTAAATGCTCCTTGGCTCTTCTTTTGGAATGGCTCTTCTCTCCCCTGATGGCCTTAAGCAGCCCTGAATTATAACCTGCTCTGGGAATGGTCTGTAATAAAACCCCAATAAGCCAGCAAACCTACACTTTGCAGGCTGTAGGTGCATAAAAAAGAGGAAGCATATTTCACATAATGCTCTTTCTAACAATAGATACCACATCCAACTCATCAGTTTTGCAGGGAGAGCAGTCTGGAGACTCAAGTCTTGCTTTTTTAATGTCTTTTTGGTCACACTTAAGAGGCACCTCCCAGTGTGCTCTGAGTAGAGTGAGGAGAGAATTAACACAGAGTGAAAAAGTAGAATTTTAGGGTTTTAAAATAAGGCGTTCAAGGGGACAAGATGGAGAGATTTGGGCATGTCCTGACCTTATTCTCCTTCTTGCCCTCCATGCCTTGCTGTGCTGGTGACACTTTTCTGTTGGTTTAAGGCACAGACACACTATCCAACATAAATAACAGATATTGGCACGTTATTGTAAACATGGCACAGGCAGTTTTTGGTAACACCAAAACACGTAGTTATAAAATAGTAACAGCACCCAGCTCTCAGGTGTTTGAAGGTAATCTGGAGAAATGGCTCTGAGGCTGAACCTTTAACAAAAATCCCACTTCTGGTTGATGTAATTCCAGCTGGGGAGGGGAGGGTTTTTGAAGAGAAAAGACCTGAAGTGATGTTTGAGAGCAGCAGCAATCTGTTGTGACCTGCATTAACAAGGTGCACGGATTCCTAAAGATCTGCCAGGCATTTCTGTGTGCCCTGGCCTCGCAGCAAGTCCTGGCCAGTGCCAAAGCTGGGTTTTGTAACTCGATGACAAAAACCCCTTTGCAATCCTGAGTAGCACTGGGCATTCTGAACGCAGCCAGAAAGCAGATTACAGCCTCATTCCCTGTTAGCAGCTGTGGATGACTCTCATGTAAAATATTGCTGGTGGGGACAGAGCCTGGATGAGGAAGGACGGAGGTTTATCCTTCCCAAAATGTGTTCTCGGGTCGGGGGGAAGGAAAATTGAGATTATTTTCTGTAGTGCCCAGGAGCAGGGAAGAGCAGGATGCAAAGCAGCCCTGGTGGATGGATGCAGTCATTCTGAGCTGCTGCCACATGGAATGGGTGCTCTGGGACAGGGAATGGAATTGTTGGCAGCAGCAGGGCTGGCTCTGCTTTTCCACAGCCCCTGCTCCCCTCTGCAGGGACCACTCGAGTCCTGCTGAGCACAGTTCCAGGTAGAGATGTTCAGAGCCGTGGGATTTTTTTTTCCATCTCTTTGTTATATTGTGGATTTTCGGCGCGAAATCGGCCTGAATGAGCTGCCAGCGTGGGCATGGGTAGGAAAAGGAGAGGCAAACCGTAATTTTATGGAGGGAATGATTCCAATTAAATAGTTGGTGAGCTCTTGGGAAGATTGTGGGTGTTGTCCAGGGTGACCCAGTCTGTTCAGATGAGAGCTGGTGGTACCAGAGCTTTTTTTGGGAACAGATTCCTGGTGGGATCTGCTGGGGGGATGCTGTGGCACGGCTTCATTCTTCCCAAAGCAGAGCAGAATTCTGGATCCCATCCCCTCACAAACTAGAAATGATTTCAGGGCTCATTGCCCACCTTTGGACTCTGAAGTGACAAATTAAAGCTTTTTTCTTCCCTTAAATATCAGATCCAAAGGCTGGCTGGTTGCCTGTGTAAACTGCTCCCTGTTGGAAGGACCTTAGACCTGGAATTCCAGCCCTCCCTCTCAAAGTCCAGCAAAAATCCAATTATTTTCCACCTGCAGCCTTCAGGCTGAGAGTTCCTACCAGCCATGGGTAAAGAGGCAGCACTTTTTTCCCCACAAAATTAAAAAAAAAAAAAGGAAAAAAAGAGGCAAATTTCAAGATTTTCCACCTGCAGCCTTCAGGGTGAGAGTGGCTTTGGTGTGAGCTGTCCTTGTGGTCAGGGGCTTCAAACCCTTACATTTAACAGAACAGGCTGAGTGGCCAAAAAAAGCTGGAAAATGGGGGGAAAAATCCTGAAAAAAATGGGGAAAAAAATCCAGTTTCAGCTGGTGCCTGGCACAGGAGCAGCCTGGCCATAACCTAAATGCTCCTGCAGCCACGAGGGGCCAGGAGTGTGAGATGGGGAGGGAAAATGATAAAGCTGAGAGAAGCAGCTGGAAACTGGTGGAAAAAGCACAACCAACAACTTTTTTTGGGTTCAGCAAGGCAGTTATAATGGAAAACGTACAGATTTGCATCAATAATTGACAGAGCTGTAGTATGTAATTATATATAGATCATAGATAATTATGTAGACAATATATAATATATATAATTTTATATATAATCCATGTAGATAATATATAATATATATAATTTTATATATAATCCATAATGTATATAATTATACATAAAGACTTTTTTGGTCCATCAGGGGTCAGAGGATGGAGCTGTTTGTCTGTTGGGAGCTGCAGTGGGATGTTGTGGCCACTGGCTACTGAATTTGTGCTGGGGACATGTCTGATTATTATATTTTTTGTTTTGTTTTGCTTTTGAAATCCCACTGATTTTGGTGGCAGTTTGGATTCATTTGGAAGCTGCCAGGTGTTGCTTTGGAATTGCTGATGGAGTGTGGGCTGGGAGCAGTTGGCAGGGCTGGTAATTCCTCCCTTCTCTGCAAGGAATGGTGGCAGGAAAAGGAAGTTTTAAAACCACTCTGCCCCAAATAACTTGGATTTAAATTGAGTTTAAAAATTTAAATTTTAAATTCACCCTGGGAGCAAAATCCTGAGTTCTGCAGTTAAATAATCTGCTTTTTTTTCATTGTCAGTAATTCAGTTCCTGCTCCCTCGTGTTAGCCTGATTCACAAAATTCAGAATTCACAAACACACAAGAATTTCTGGCTGGACCCAGAGGAATAGGATGGAACTGCCCAGCAGCTTGGGCTTGTGTTCTCTCTAAACTTCTGAGAGCCCACAGCTGATTCAGGACTTCACTTCTCTGGGGGCACTGGTGATACTCGGGTCAGTGGAGATGCCAAATTTATTCTTTTGTGTCTCCAGATTTACCAGAGATGCTGGTTAGTCTTCAAAAAAGCTTCAAGCAAAGGGCCCAAGAGGCTGGAGAAGTTCTCAGACGAACGAGCTGCCTACTTCAGGTGCTACCACAAGGTAAGGCACGAGGTTTTCTCCAACTAATTTCTTGATTTCTTTTATTACTTAGCAAAATCTAAAGTTTGGTGTATTACTTAGCCTGAAAATCAAAATTTTTTTTTTTACTCTTAAGGTCCTAAACCTTTGTGTGTGCTTTCATTCAGTGAAATAGAGGCAAAATAAATGTTCTTTCTAGCAAATATCTTGCTAAGCAAGTGGAAAATGACTTTTTTGTTGAAGCACTTGGCCTTTCCTCTCCTCAGCCCTTTAAAATCACTTCTGAAATACTTTGCAGTGGCTCCTGCTCTTCATATTTGCAGAAAGAGCCACCCCAGGGAGCAGGGGAATGCTGAAGGCTCCTGGAGTTCCCATTTTTGTGGGATTTTTGCCTCTGCAGCTGCAGACACAAAACTCATTTTTACAGCAGTGATGCTGTGAAAAGTGCTGTGAAAAGCTCTGCTAAATTCACTGGTGTTTAAAAGAATGAAGAATTTCCCTCCAGCCACTGCTCTGGAATGATGCACATCTCACACCCACCAGAGAATTTCCATGTGCCATTCTCCTGGGCACGGAGGTGGGAATCAGAAACCTTTTCATTTATAATAATTGTAGGCAGAAAGTGCAGGTCATGAATTCCCAGGGGCTGGAGGCTGCTCTGCACTCACCCTGGCAGGCATTTAGGAGGAAATCCTGGGGGAATCCTGCCTCTGAATGCCACAGAGTCTGGGACTGATTGCTCATAAAACCCGTGGCTATTTCTAATAAGGCAGGCCCAGAAATAATTCACATTTCTATTGGGCAACTTCCAGAAGTAATGAGATTTTTTTTAAATTTATTGTGTGAGGGCTGCACGGTGTGTGTAAGAACTTCAGCCCTGTGTCAAACACTACATTTATTGTATATATATATACACACACATATTTATGTATATTTATATATAAATATACAAATATATACTTATATATAAATAAATATGTATTTATATATTATATATATATATAAAAATTATAGATAATTATATATTACAACTCTGTCAAGTCTTGATGCAAACCTCTATATTTTCCATTGTGCCAATGCAACATATCAGCAGCACCTTGGGGAATGGATGTGAAATCCAAGAGGAAGCTGAAGGAGGCTGGAATTTCTTCTCTTCTTTCCTGAAATTCCACAGGTTAGCACCTGTTTGCAGGTGTTTAACCCACAGCAGCCTGGCTCTGCACAGTAAAGCACCATGGAAAGGTCACTGGCTCAGAGATTTTCAGTTTTAAGCCAAGCTTTGCACTTAATTAATTCCAAATTATTGCTTTTCCTATCAATTTAATTTCTGGATTTCTCTAGTAGCTGATTTGACAGGAATGAATGAAGGTGCAGAATCAGTTCCTGAGAGCTGACACACAAATCTGGTGTGGTTTTTATCAGAATTTTGCCAATCGTGCACAGGAGCTCGAAGATCACTCAGGGACACCCTTGGACACTTCCAGGGGGATGAAAAGTGGGAAAAATCTGATTTTCTGGGGTTCATTTGGATTTTGAGAATATTCTCAGGCAGAGGGAGAGCTGAGATTGCTGAGTGAGGCTGTTCCCTGGTTTGGAGTCATCAGCTCTCCAAACTGACAGGTCTGCTTTATTTTTAACAAACCTCACTGAGAGGGAGCTAATGAATATTAAATTTCCTGGGCAAAATGGGCTCATTTGTGAAGAGCACAGGTGCATAAACATGCAGGTTTTTAAAAAATAAAATAAGCCTTGTAAATGTGTGAAATATAAATGTGAATGATGGAGCTTCTGAGAGTATTAAATGTGAGCTGCTGGAAAAAGAGAACTTGTCCCTGCTGCTCTGTATTAGGCTGTAGCTGAATGATTCTGATGGAAATCATAATTAATTATTGATCAAAACACCCAACAAAGAATATGGCAGTGTCTTCCACACTCGCTGCTTTCCACCTGCTTTTTGGTTATAAGAATTTTGGTGATATCATTTATGAAAATGTTGGGATTTTGGTGATTTTTGTAAAAATGTTGAGATTTTGATGATATTATTTATAAAAATGTTGGAATTTTGGTAATATTATTTATAAAACTGTTGGGATTTTGGTGCTACTATTTATAAACATGTTGGGATTTTGGAGATATTATTTATAAAATGTTGGGATCTTAGTGATATTGTTTATAAAGATGTTGGGATTTTAGTGACATTATAAAACTTTAACTACACTATACTATAAATACCTTAAAACTAATCATCTGTAATTACCTCTTATAAGTCCCACTACAATACATCTTTCATAATTCGATTTCTCTAAAATACCTAATCTTTTTTGCAAAAATAGCCTTTAAAACTTATTTCCAATTCAATTTCTCTCTCAGCAATATCTATCCTATTCCATAATGTTTCTAAATTAACATTTCTTATCTCAAAATTTGCATAAAAATACACCCTATATAAACCTTCTCTCAAACTTTAAACATTTTCTGCAAATCCATTTCCATTTACCTGGCCTCTGGAGTGATTCTGAAATGCTGCTGAAAGCAGCATCACATCTGATGGTGCTGAGTTGAATGATTCTTATGGAAATAATTGTTAATGATTGATACAATAATTGATAGAAATTATTGCTAAAATAAAATAATTGATTAAACAATGGATAAAAATTATTGGTAAAATAAAATAATTGCTAAAAATACAAAACCTGAGGAGCCCTCACTCAGCCCATCAGTCTCAGGAGAGGTTTAATCCATCATAAAACCCTAAAAGGGGAGAAAAGGAAAATGATGAATGGAGCTCATTCCTCAGCAGCACCTGCCTCCTTCACTCAGGTGTTCCCTTCTGAGGCTGTCCTTTTTTCCTGCATTAAAATGCCAGATTTTCTTGGATTTGTTGGTGCAGAGGGGCTGGCAGGGCCCTGGTTGTGGTGGCACCAATTCCAGGGGGCTGAGGATGCAGCTCCTTTCCTTCTCCTTGGGAATTTTGGGTCCCCAGCACTGCCTCGGTGCTGCTCCTGCAATTTTGGAGAATCCCAAATATTTGCATTTGTGTCCTTGTGTGCATCTCTGCACAGGGCCTGGGTTTGGGCATCCTCACCACTGGAGGTGCAGACCAGAAATAAGCACTTTTTTTTTGGTGTAATATTAACCTTTAAATCCTTTCTAATCTGATCTTGCTCTATTTTTTAAAAGTGGAAAGGTCACAGTGCCCTAAAATAAAGGTTATGTGAGAACAGTCAGCTGGGGTTTATGGAGTGAACTGGGAATTTGCATGCACAAAGCAAATTGCCCACGTCATTCCTTTGGTCCCACAAGGGAGAGAAAATAATTAGAATTCAGGCTACAAAATCTGCACAGAGAGTTGTTTTCAGGTGAGTGTCTGATTTTCACTTGTTAAACGTAAATAAGCAACACAAATTGCCACATTCTTGAACAAAATAATACTGGAGGAAGGAAAAAACTCTTATTTCTTTTGAGTTTGTGATATGCCAGAAGAACCCTCAATATTCCAATAAAAACTGAACTGTGTCCTGCTGACAGGACTGCACCGAGCCCTCGAGGGGCTCTGAGTTTTAATCCCANTGCCAGAAGAACCCTCAATATTCCAATAAAAACTGAACTGTGTCCTGCTGACAGGACTGCACCGAGCCCTCGAGGGGCTCTGAGTTTTAATCCCATTGTATTCATCTTGCCTTGAAACAGCAGAAGTCATTCACACAGTCTTTTCTGTCTCCTTCTGGAATAATCCATTTGGAAAATTGGATTGAGGAACTTGTAATTGTTTTCCAGGCAAAACTATGGGTAGCAAATTAAATGTTTCAAATCTGAGCACTCTGCTAGGAGGGAGCTGTTGAACATTTATTTTAATGTTAGCTTAACTAATTTAGCATTTAACTTAGCTGGGAGTGAGGCACCAGGTTCAGGGCTTCAAGAGAATTAAAGGAACTTTTCAGGGGGTTTTGGTGTTTGGTGAAATTCCACGCAGGGGAATTCTGTGGAATGTTTGTGAGGAGGAGAGAAGAAGAAAAGAAAATAAGAAAGAAAAGAAGAGTAGAGAGAAGAAGAAAAAGAGATGAAAATGG